GTTCAACTCGCCTGAAGGAGATTAGACTTCCTTAGATAGAAAAACTCGCTTCGTAACCTTCGCTCCCTTCGCACTCGTTTACCGGTTGCTCTTCCACTTCATGATTATACCGTTCGCAGTGATGCCAAGTCGGAGGACTTTCTTTATAAAGTAACGAAGACGCGGCCTAGCTACGCATAGCCCTTGTTCTACGATGAAAGACTTTTATGCCTAGCTTGACGACTGACTGAACTTCCAGGACTGAGCCGACTGGACAGAACTTACACTGATACCGTAGTTGCTGCTGCCTGCTCTTAGCCAGGAGGTGCTCCTGCTTATTTACTCCAGTTCAAGTTGAAAAATGTATTTTATTTACCAGTTGAAGTAGCAGAAAAAGGAGAAGTCGAAGTTCCAGTCTCGGTTGCTGTTGACGTGGACGTTGATCTAGCTAGCTCCTAAGCTCCTCAAGGCTAGGCTTGCTCCGTAGCTACCGCATGCAAGCGTAGTTGGTCTAAGCTCTTTCGGTTTAGGGTGGGATCTATTCGATAGACTTGATCCTTAGGGGCCTTTCTATAAGGATGTATGTTCAAGTGCAATATCCGTTTTATTTAGTTCTTAAGGCCGAATCAAGTGAGCGAACAGGCTTTGGCTTTGTCATTCGCATTGTTGCAAGCGTAGTTGGAGTAAGCTCTTGTCGTTGAGTGTAAGGGCGAGGCTACCGCAGCGATAATGGTTATTCTCTAATGGAGTAAAGGGGTGCTCGTCTTGTCTTTTTCTTTTGCTTAACTCGGTTATCCTCTTTCCTTCTTTTTATTAAAGCGAGGTTATGGTGTGTCGTTCTTCCCGTTGATGCGAAGCTGTATACGCCTGCTTCGATCTTCTTTCTGGTTAGGGAAGCAAGCTCCTGGGTTTTAGGTCATCAAGCTTTGTTTGGCTGGTCTTACTTCACTGGGAAATCTGACTTTTCCACTCTTGCGTCTTTTTCTAAATGAAAGGATAGGGCCAAGGAGACCTTGGATCAGATGCACACAAAACCAATAATCTCTCGTATCTATCCCCTCTCTCAAGCGGAACTGGTAACTGTAGCTGCGACCAATTCAGAATCCTAACTCCTCCCTGCTACTTCAGGGGTCATACCACGAAGGGCCCCATCACCATCACCAAAAACATCAACATCAATTACCAAAACCCCGTCTTCTACCTCCAGAAGCTAGCCTGAAGCTCCCCCCTTAATCCCCTTGCTTCTATGCGCGTGCTCACTTTTAGTGGAAGACTATTTGCTACTATTGGAATTTACCATTGCTGTAGTAGTACGCTCTGGCTAGTGTCAAAATGTCTGATTGTGAATGAGCGAGTCATTTTGGTACTATGATTCTCCTACTTCATATGTGGGCTTACCGGGCTAAGCTAATCATTGGATACTAGAAACTTTCGATCTAAGGCACTTTTCGTTAGCGGGAAATCGACACACATTGATATAGGATGTTGAGCTTGCGTATCCCGGGACGATGCCCATCTGTATCATCCTTTGTTTGACCAACTGTGTAATCTCAACATAGGTGTCACCTGCGGATCCGCTATTTCGGCTTTCCTTGTGGTTCCCATTAAATATGTGTGAATTTCTCTGTTGACCCCACAAAAAGAAAGCTTTTCGTGCCCTCAGGAAGTTTTTTCTTTCTCTCGATACGCAGAGGGGAGAGCATACCCTGTCTCAGGCAGTATATCAGTCGTTAACGATTTAACCAGGACACATCCAATTGAAACTGTAATCCCAACCTCTTTTGAAGGAGCTCCAAAAAGACTTTACTTCAGAGCGGGGAATCTTCCTACAAGTGAGCACCAACTCAAATGTGTTCAGGCTATACCTCTGCCTAGAAAAAAAGGAGTTTCAGGCACCCTCGTGGGAGACATTGGATGTTGTCAACCGGCCTAAAAATGCTCATAAACAGCTCTTCCCCCTTTGACTTAGTTTTCGCTCTCCTCTGTCTCTAGTAGACTAAGCCTGATCCTACTTTGCGGGTGCAGCAGGTCTAGGTATTCTTTTTTTTTCGTCTGAGGGAACTGCCAAGATCTAGCTAAGACTTGAGATCCAATTCTATCTCATTCTGATCTCGTTATGAGGGAAATAGGTGAGGCGCGGCTAAGACAACATATGGGACTTCCCGCGCTAAGTTGTTCCAATCTCTGTACTAAGTACCTGAACTCGGCAGTGCTGCTATGAGCTAGATTTGTGCGTACAAGGGTAAAGAAGCGAGCAGGGCTACCTTTCCGCTGGAAATCCTATACCTGAGTGCTATTTGATCAGAGTGAGTTGTAATTGAGCTTGATTTAGTTGCTCTCGTATTGAAATGCTTTTAAGTATGTGGGTGACTCATCGTCGTGAGATCGGTTGGTACCCTGCATAAAGAAGGTTGGTGAGTAGGATCACAGGTGCGGAATGTCAAAGGTAAGTTTTTTTCTTGTATTGTGGGTGGAAAGAAAAAGAAAAGGCTTCGAGGATCTAGTTTCCACCGGTTTCTCCTTTGTAGGTTCCTGGGGTGAAACCTTTAGATCTTTGGATAGTATGCGCGAATTGACTCTTTTCCTTTGGTGGTGTACAGT